TACAGTTAAATTTTTATGTTATTTACTTTTTTAAAACCAAAAATACAATGGAAATATATTTTAATTATAATGTAATTATATATATTTTAATTATAATTATTATAATTTTAATTATAATTATAATGAAATACCTTATTTTCAGTCATGAATTTTAATATTAATGATTTATTTTAAAAAGTTTCGTAACATTAGTTTCATTTTTGTGACAAATTAGTTTTTATGCATTATTTACATTATGAATTATTATTATTATTGTTATCATTGCCATTATTATTACTACAATTTGAACTAAAATTAAGTGTAATGAACTTAAAAATTATCAAATATTTATTTTCGATTTTTAATTTTAAATTATTTTATAAAATTTACTGGAAAGAGAAAAAAAAATAGAGGTGAAATATGAAACAAAAAATAAAAGAATATCATTGTAATTACTAAAAGCACTTTTTTCGAAAAAAATGAAAAATTTAACAGATTTTAAATTTTTTTAAAGTATTTGAAAAAGATTTGTGAAAAACTTTAATTATTTTCTTATTAATTTATCACATTTTTTGGTTATTAAATAATTATTTAATAAAAAGTTTATATTAAAATAAAATTAAATTAATTATAAATTGAAAATGGTTAAAAGACAAATTTAAAAAGGTTTCTTAAAAGTATGGATTATTTTTATAAATAAATTTTATAATAAATGTTTTATAAACAAATTTTAAACAAATTTTAAAATAATTATTTGGAAAAATGATTTTTAATAAATATTTTAGCTTAAAAATATTTGCGAAAATAAAAAAAAATTCTTTTCGAAATAATTTCGTTCAAATCATAAAAAATAATTTTATTTAAAATAATTTAAAAAGTAAAAAAAGTTAAACGAAGAAAAAAGGAACGTTGAAAGAAACGATTTCACGAGAAATAAATTTGAAAGTATTTTTAAAACAATGAAGTAATATTTAAAATGCCATAGTTATTTATTTCGTCTAAGGATGATATTTTAAAAAATCCTTTTTTCATCCTTTTTGAGTGGCATGGTGGTCCCTAATTTCCAGTCCTCTGCCACTTGGCTTGGAAGATTGAGGATTCTGCGCAATATTTCTTGGCTGTTCCCAGCTCTTCTGGACAAAAATCTCTGACGTTGCTTCTTGTGTTAAATCTGCTGAAGCCACTTTTTCAATTTAGGTGTTCCTCCAGTTATCACCGAAACTACTTTGGTCTTCATTTTCCATATCTTCTCTGTTTCCTCCTTCAGCCCTTACTGTTTCTCTAGCTTATCGCATTCCTCCTTCCTGTCACTTGGTATCGCTATATCTTTCAGCAGTGCTGATCTCTGATTCTTCTATATATCCACAATATATATTCACTGACAATTTCTGTCGCAACATTTGCCCTATTACGAGGAGAAATATTATACAAAGGAATTAGGATAAGGTTAAGTAGGTTGGTTGAAAGAGTATGTGAACAGCGTGGATTAAAGTGAAATGAACTAAGCCAAGGACCTTATGGCGCATATTTTTTTTTTGAGAGTCCTCACCATTACTGGTTAAACTCGCCCCCCGTCGCATCAGGCAATATGGCATGGAGTCCCTTGGCGATACAAAATACAGGTGAGTCGCCAACACCACCCGGATTTTTGACAGATTTACTCCTGCGGAGAATCGAACCCCGGCATCGGCTCTCAACCGAGCAGCAACCCACTGAGCCAAGCATATGATGCATATACTTTATCATTTCTATCATTAAGTGTCACAAACCACTGAGTAAATAAATAAATAGAATAAATCCATTGAGTTAAGCAAACCACAATCAATAATCTCTCAGCAAAGCAAAATTAGCCTCGTCCTCACCACTTGCTTGCCTCCGAAATCACAGCCAAGAAAATGATTTCACGCAAGCAATTGACATAGAAAACTATTTAATACGAGGAGAAATATTATACAAAAGAATTAGGATAAGGTTAAGTAGGATGGTTGAAAGAGTATGTGAACAGCGTGGATTAGAGAAATGTACAAATAATGAAAAGTGCGAAATATGGAGAGACGTAAAGAAAAATTTTTTTACGAGAGAGCGAAGAACTGTCGGACTAGGAATATTGAAAATGGAAAAGAAAATAGCAAAGAACAGGACATGTCTGCTGAGAGAGAGGCAAAGATGCAGAGAAGAGACAAGTGTGGCAGATTTAGCGAAAAATGAGAATAAACATAGCTACTGGCAGTACGCGAGAAAAAAGACAGGGAAATAGCGGAGAGACGGAATGAGAAAAAAGGAAAGTCTAGAGTTTATATTTTGTATATTCTACGAGCGCTTTTCTTCGCAATGTTGGAGATAAGGGAGCTTGGAGATTGGGAGGGGGTGGGGAGTAGTGGGTGACACGGTGGGGGTGGGGGATGTGGGGGTCCTGTGGGGGAAAAGCAGTTCTGAATACTGAGTGAGGAATATTTGTCAATAAAACATTTTTTAAGTGTTTTGTAAGTGAAGTGGAAATTCGGATCTTTTCTTTAGATCCATTTGTATGTCTTTCACCAAATGGTTCCCTAACGAATGGTTCTTATGTGAGTGCTTAAAGTGAAATGTCCATTAAAACTGATGCATGTTATGTTTAGAAAAGAAATATATTAAGTAAATTTTTATATTTTTAAACAAATTTTATATAATAATAATGTTCTCTTTTATAATTTTTTCCTATTTTTCACATAAATTTTGAAATTTTTTAAAATGCGTAAAAATTATCTAAAAATTTTTCTTTTATTCTCATTTGAAAAAGCCTATGAATTTAAATTTTCCATTGTTATTTACAATTAGTTCTCATAATTATTATCTCCAATTAGGGAACCATTGAATGCTAATTATTAATTAAATAACAAAAATGTTTTCGCTTATTTTTTCTGTAAAATATTTATTTGATGAAAAAGCAAATAACGTTAACTCGACCGAAATTTAAAAAATTTCAACTGCGGGCCGCGAGAGGAGGGGCTATGGGCCGCACTTTGATTTCAGTTTTACTTTGCAGTCGGTTTTTCTGTGTCTGCTAAGTTCGTGCGGCTTAAGGTTATGTTACATATATGCGCGTGTCGAATTATTTTGTACGTGAACATTCATCTGTTCTTCCCTATACATCGAGCTGTTTCATTTGGTGCACGTATGTGCCATAATTTTGCGTGCCATGCTTACGCGAAACAGTAAATCATACAGCATTATGTGCAGAATATTTAGTGGATTGGTTGTTCGTTGATGATTTGCGCAACCGATATAATAGAGCGACAAAACTGTCTTAATATGCGAATAATGTTTAGTAAAAAATTTTGGACCATTACGAAAAAAAAGTAATTAGGCTGTGTGTACAGTTTAATCAATAGTGCGGTGTTGCGCTTCGCATTCTCGCTCTATTTTTTGAGAAATCGATGGTGCATGATCGCAACGCTTAGATTAGTGCAACTTATTGCATTCCTATTTTCTCGCATGCTCATTTGCTTTTTCGGTGATGCTTGAACCTATGCACGATTTCCAGTTTAATATTTTCGTAGCTTTTCGTTCAATTTCTCGTTCTTATATTTTAGATTCAAAGTTTCTTGATTTTCTATTTTAGTGGAAATATAAATTTCCGTTTAATGCATTCTTTCATCTGGCGAAATCTTTATGGAATCCCCGGAAATCACTATATGACTTCCTCAAAGCGAGGAGGACAAGTCTAGATTTGGACTGAACAATCAGGAGAGGTTTTATAAACAGTCCAGCGATGTTTGCGCATAGAGGGTGGAAAAAAAGAGTCGCTTCTTCTAATGAAGTTAACATCGAATCGAGTATCTTGGAGTTGCCTTATTTTTGTAATCAGCGTAGTCTGCCTAATCAGTAATGATGAGAGATATTAGGTGATGATGAAAAAAATTACCTCTAAAATAGTTCTAATACATTGATTTTTGATTTTAATTGATTTTAAATAATTGACTTTAATAATAATTGATTTTTCATCTTGGATTTTCGAAATTCGTTTAATAATTATGCATATATTATCTTTTATAATTTTTTTAGTCTATTTAACGTATGAGCACCTTGTCGTTATGCTAATAACCATTGTTTCTTTATAGAACATATTTTCAGCACCCGATTTTCTGTAAAAAAATGATCATTTAGTGAGAATTTTTGGCAAAAAAAATTGAAGGAAATATTGGAAATAGAATGGATAAAAAAATGGATAAGAAAGATGAACAGAAAATTCGTTCATCAAATAATTCTTCAAATGGTTATCGCAAGCGTCTTATGAAGCGTGTAAATGATAATGATTTGCCTACTAATAATTGGTGCTTTTTTTATTTTTTAAAATTAGGTGCTATATTAATATTATTGTAATAGTGATCTCGGTAATTCTGCTAGTGGACCTAGATTTCTATCGCTGACTTATCGTCTGATCTCATCTTAGAACCGGTCGGAAATAGTGAATGGTATTTCTGAGTATTTCTTGAGTTTAATTTACTGCATTACGATATGAACATATTATTGAAAGCGAAATCTGTAGGAACTTACCTATGTCTCCAAGGCAGGGTTTTTCTGGCAGTAGAGTCTCCTAAAGAATGAAAGTTATAAAAATGTGGAGATAATAGTAATAATTAAAATAATTAGTTGTAATAAAAATAAATGAAGTAGATGGGAAGATTGAATGTATTCCGTTAATAATGAAATAAAAAAAAAGAAAAGAGAGGTAGGTGATAGATGACTGTTTGTTATTATGTTAATTTTATACACTGATTAATTTTTCCCGTTAAATTTATGCCAGTAATAGGAAATAATATTTTTCTGGTAGTTAAATTTTTCTGGCGATCAATATTCATATATTTTTCTATATTTTCCTTCATTTATTTCTAGCCAGTTTTTTTACGAAGCACCCTCTTTTCTATTCTTAATTTTTTATTATTTTTAATATGTCTAAAAATATGTGGAAAATAAAGTAAGTTTTTTTTCTTATGATTTTAAAGTTTTATATAAAAATTATATTTCAATAGCAGAAAAATTTCAGTAATAATTGGCTATCAGTTGAAGAAAGAACTCGACTGGAAGCTGTTCAACGAGATTGGCGTTTATCTCGGCCTGGTAGACCTGGAAAATTTCATTCGGTATAATTCAGATTTTATTGTTTTTGTCATGATTTCATATTCAAATGGTACAATTAGCTTAATTTTAGCCACTAGTACATCATTATAAAGCTGATGTAGTAACGTGCAAACAAACTAATGCATCGTCTGAAAATGAAGATTCTAGCAATAGCCTATCTCAACAGTCTATTTTTGAAAGAAAAAGGTGATTTTTTTTACCATTTTAAAGTTTTCAAAATTTCTTATAGTTTAGATGATCTGAACCAATTTTGAGTTTTTTTAATTGAAAATTTTACAAGAAAACGTTTTTTTTAATTGCAGAATTGTACCAAAGGCAGTTGAATTAGCTGTCCAAACACATTCCAACCATGAAACCAAAATACCCGTTCCATTCAAAAAATTGACAGAATGTGATGAAAGCGGAAAAGCTTCAATAAAAGATATCGCTGAGAAAGCAGAAATCGTGGAAAAAGCTGATAGTCTTCCTAAAAGTGAAGCAAAAAAAGAAGTTATTTTCATATTATTTTATCTAAATTTTTTTAAAATTCTTATAATTTGTACAAATATAAATCATCAGAATATTTTTTTTTCTTCACTGTACTCGAAATAATTGCATTTAGGAGGGCGAAAAACCTCGTGAAATCTTGGATGACACTGAAGAGGAAGAAAAACCCATTGAAAAATCACCAGGTATTCCTCAGTATTTGACTTTAATTAATCAGTAAATTTTTCAGAGAATTGCTTTATATTAAATAGTTTAATTAAATTTTTTTGCTTAATTCTACTGTCATTTTAAATCCTTCAAAAGCATAGTTTTTATAACGACGACTTCGTTTAAAAATGATTATATTTTACATCTAAAACATATTGAATCATTCCACCATAATAAATTGTAATTTTAAAAATTTTTATTTTTAGATGGGCGATTCTTGAAATTTGATGAAGAATTAGGGCGAGGATCTTTTAAAACAGTGTATCGTGGCTTGGATACTGAGACAGGAGTTGCCGTGGCTTGGTGTGAATTACAAGAAAATAAATTGAATAAGGTTCAGTCTTTTCTTAAACTTTTTTCTCTTATGTGGATGGTCATGATCATCCTCAACTTCGGATCTTTTACCAGAAGCCTGGGAGATTGAGGGTTCTGCGCAGTATCTTAGCTTGTGTTAATTATTACATCATATTAGATTATATTGTCTTATAAATATTAATTTTGTTATTCTTTTAATTCTTGATTATTTTTAATATATGAAAATTTCAGATTTTCTTTTCATCCTTTTTCTTTTTTTTAAAATTATTTTTTTTTGGGTAAAATCTTTGTATTTCATTATATCGATTTTTTTCATTAAGTGCAAGTGATTTGATTTAATTTGTAGATCGAAAGACAAAGATTTAGAGAGGAAGCTGTAATGCTTAAAGGTCTTCAACACCCAAATATTGTGCGATTTTATGACTATTGGGAAAGCCAAGAACATGCAGGCAAAAAAAAGTATTTACATTTTTGAAATTCTTGAAATTCTATTTTTTTATAATCTTTAATAAATTTTCTAGAGTAAATCATTGTCGGCAAATAATTTATTCATTTTTCGCTTTTTTAGATAATAAATTTATGCTATTTGGGAACCATTGATAAAAAATATAAAATTTATACTTCATATATTTCAGATGTATTGTGTTAGTTACGGAACTGATGACCTCTGGGACGTTAAAAATGTATTTAAAACGTTTTAAACGTATAAATATTAAGGTGAAAGTTTTGTACATTTTAATTTTCCTTTATCTGATTCCTTTACATATTTGATTGTTGAATTATTTTGATTTGATTATGAATGTTTGCAAATTTAAATTTAAACTATGCATTTTTCATTTTCCATTAGTAGATTTTGTGAATTTTTTGAGGTGCTGAAATCGTGGTGCAGACAAATTTTGAAAGGTCTTTCTTTTCTGCATTCTCGTGATCCACCTGTCATACATCGTGATTTAAAATGCGACAATATCTTTATTACGGGCACAACAGGTAGCGTTAAAATTGGAGATCTTGGCCTTGCGACATTAAAAAATAAATCTTACGCTAAAAGTGTCATCGGTATTTTTTTATTTTTTTATTCTCTTTTATTTTTATTTTTTTGCTATCGTTATTTGTCGTTATGTCATCATCATTCTTTTTAAATTTTTTAAATTTTATTTTCAATTAATATAAAAAATTAAAATTTTGATTTTATTATTTGGATTATTTTTTTTATTATCCATAAATGAATTAAGGCACACCTGAATTTATGGCACCAGAAATGTATGAAGAAATGTACGATGAAAGTGTTGATGTTTATGCTTTTGGAATGTGTCTTTTGGAAATGGTGACTGGTGAATATCCTTACTGTGAATGTCAATTTCCTGCTCAAATTTATCGTAAAGTAACAACGGTTCGTTCCCTATTGTTATTTATTCTTTTCTTGATGTTTGACTTATTTATGTTGAAATTTTTTAAAAAGAAATTTGTCAGAAATTTAAAAATATACTTAATAAATACATATATATATATATATATATATAATCGTAATCCGTTACAATTCTTTGAGATTGAAGATTAATAATTTTTTTTCTGTTAGATTAATTATGAAAAACTTCACAAAAAAAAATCGCATTGTTTTTCGTGCGTTCCTCTCAGAAATATCAAATTCTTCGAAATCGAATAATATTTAATGGCTTAAGTATAGATGATTCAAAAATCATTTCAGGGTGTTAAACCAGAGTGCTTTTATCGAATTCCACCGCAATATCCCGAAATTCGAGAGATTATTGATCGTTGTACGCGAGTTCGAAAAGAAGAGCGGTAAGTTTTTTTTCCTCCTTTTTTTCTGTTTTTTCTCAATTCTAATCGTTTTAATTTGATTTATTCTTATTTATGTTATTTTTTTCATATTGTTTGATAAATTTTTTAGAGCCACTGTGAAATCATTGTTGGCGGATGATTTCTTCATTCCAGAAGAACTTCTCGGAATACGTATTGAAATAAAAAATCGTGAGATCGATCTTAATGAAGCAAATACTGAGGTTTATTTTTCTTTATGTTTATCTTGATTTTTTTTTTACTTTTATTAAATAACATCGAAATTCTTAGATTCAAATGCAGTTACGAGTTTTTGATGAAAAGAAGCGGAAACAATATCGATTCAAGGAAAATGAAGGTTTACAATTTGCCTTTGATATTGAAAGCGATAAAGCTGAAGAAGTCGTTCAACAAATGATCGAACAGCAACATATTCCCGATCAGGACACAGCAATGATTACGAAACTTATTAAAGATAAAGTTATTTTTTGTTTTACTTTTTGATTTATTTTTTAATTCTTTAATACTTCCTTTATTCATAAATTCAGGTTAAAGCATTCAAACGAGATCGTGAAGTTCGTCACGCTGAAATCAAAAGGCATCGTGAGGAAGAAGCACGAAGATTGGAGGAAGCACAAATACGAAATGAAATAGCATTGCGAGGGAGGAAGGACCGAGTTAGGAGTTTATCATTTTTGGTCTTTTCTAGATGGTCTTTTTTTCTAAGAGCTCATTTCATTTGCGACTGTGGTTATACGTTTCCAAATTTTTCATTCTGAAATTAACTGGACCTACTTCTTTTTTCCGTCTTCTGACATTGTCACAGTATTCTCTGGGCTGTCTGTTCATTATTTCCTCTTACCACTCTGATTGGCCGTTTTTGCTTGATACTCTCCATCATAGAATTTATCAAACACTACCGAGATACGCGTCAATTTTTGTTATCGGCGAAGGCCTAACCTGCGTGCAGTTTATAACGATATCCTTAACAGACGTGATATTTGAGCTAGGGTTCATGCAGTCACGTGAAGTTAACTTGGCGAGTATGGCGGAAATATACTAAGAATGGTCAGTCAGATATAATAGGATTCCTAATATCTTTCTTTCTCACTGTTTTTGTTTCGCAGTACGATAAAATATTACAGCCGGATAAAGAATTCGCCAGACGAAAGAAAACCGATACATAGATATCTTTAGCTACTGTCCGAGCTGGATCTTTTCCTTGATCATTAGGTATTGGGTCCGAGATATTTAAAGTCTTTGATGAACTTATTAGAAATCGCGATCTTATAAGCTTCTGGTATATGCGAGAAAATTATTTATATTAATTTGAAGACCATTGTTTGCTTGTTTATACCATTTAGTCTCTTTTGCAGTTTCTCGTAACAGCAAAAAGAACATTCATCAGTGTATTCAGGATCCATGATACTAAGCTCTGAATTAATTTGTGCAGTTATTGAGCGCCTTTATTCAGTCTACCACACAGTTAAAGATTGTAGGGAAGAGAACTTAATCTTGGTGCTTCTTTTCATATTTTAAAAGATTGGTCAGTTTCCCAATACATGTATTTGCGCCGTTAAAATGCTTTAACAAACCTGATTGTCTGGAACACAATCGTGTTGCGTATCTTTCTAGAGCATCTTCCTGTGGATCGAATCAACAGTAGCGGCATTTTGATGAAGCATTCAACTGTAGGTTGTCGATATTTGAAACGGTGGTTCATTTTCATCTTAACGTGAAAATTTGATCAGCATAATCAAGCCTAGATCCAGCTTGGTTAAGGAATGTTTTATTGTCGTACGACTGATAATATTAATGTATTTTTCGCATATATATTGTGAATACCATATGTACTGGAATTTGTGAGCATTCGAGTTTTATTTTATCCATTTGCCATCGAGGCATATGTGGATAGAATGCTACTCGTGTTCCAGCAACCTCTCATCATGACTTTAATGACAAGTTTTTTGCTGGGATAATCAGAGATATTTATGGTAATTACGGAATTATCAAGATAGAAATTTTTGAGAAAATTATAAAAATTCTTATAAAAATTCTATTTAGAAACTTAACTTGGCTTTCTCTGTCGTTATTTAGCCTGAAAAACTTCAGGAAAAAGAGTGGTTGGAACATGTTGGTGCTGAAAATTTGACAGAAGTTGATGATCATCATGATGGACATGTTGCTGCGGATATGAAACACAAAAAAAGCAAAAAGAAGGTTCTTATAGAGGTTCTCAGGGTTGCTACTGACGAAATCAACCAACAACCTGTAAGCAGAGAATTTTGTGCTATTATTGTACATTAATATATTTGTACTGAAAAATTAATTGTCTTGCACAATTTTCAACTTTTGTCGAAAATTTTAAAGTTATTTTTAGTTTTTATTGTTACTACTTTTTATTATAGTTAGTAAGTTGTCGATTAGATACGACGCACAAGACTGTCACGTTTCAATTTGCCCCAGATTCAGATCAACCATCCGTTATTGCTGAAAAATTGGTCTAGTTTTATTATAATACTCTAAAACCGTTCATTATGGTAGTGAACAACATAAAAATGTTAATTTTATGAACCAAATTTATCAAATATTTTATTTCACCATAGATTTTAAATGCAGTTTAATAGAGTATATTGGATTTTAAATGTATGCTATTTAGAAATTACTACATTAACTTCTTATAATTTATATGGCTCGATTTATATTATAGCTCGATCAAGATTGCGTCACTGATCCTCAAGTAAATATTGTAATTGAACAATTGCAAAAAGTGATCGAAGTAATTTTTAAACTCTCTGTTGCTTATCTTTTTCTTAATTTTATTCACTCGATTTCGATTTTTTTATCTAATTAACAAGGTTTTGCAGGCAATTCGGGAGGATCCAGCTAGAGCGGTAGGTACTAAATTTGTAAGTTTTATGGATGCAGTAAGCATATCAGCCACAGATGCGCCATTCATAACCGCACTGAAAAATTCTGCTAATGCTATTCCTCAGATGAAAGGTGGTAATATATCACCGCCTTCTGTGGACATTTTGTTTTCATCTCTGAATGGTCAGCCTATTCAACTGAGCAATAAAATTTTTGATGACGATGGCTCACCAACCATTGTGCCAAGCGGAATGCAGAAACCGGTAAACGAATGAAAAACTCTTGATGATTTATATGCGTATTACCAATGTTCTTTTTTGTTGTTGAAGCTAATTTATTTTTTTTATCATAGATTGTGCATCCTGTTATTGTACCAACAACATCAAATTGTTCACCAGAAGGAATTGCTACCAGTCAAGCTAATTTAAACAGTTTAACGAAAACAGATGATGTAGCGCCTACGGATTTGAACTTTATTGCACCTTCAGTAATCAAAGCATCAAGATTTCTTGTAACAAAATCATCTTTTCCAATTGATTCGAGTTTTTCTACAACACTTCCTACTCCTTCTTCTTTATGTCAAGAACGCAGAGTAAGTATATTATGAGTATATAGAGAATATTCAGCTTATGAAACGAATGAATAGGAAACTTTTTCAGAAACTTAGTGCTATGGCTAGTGCCAGTATTGGTCAAGAATCAAATGACATCAAAGTAGTGCCTGAAAACACAACTCCATTAGTTTCTGATATCGGTAATTTGGCCAGTGATTCTGCCACTGCAACTTCTTTGGCTTCATTATTTGTTAAAACAACATCTGGTACTGTTGCAGGTCGTTTCCAGGTGTATATTGGAACTATTAGTTTTATATTTAAATATTTTATTTTATGGGAGTTAATTACAAATACAATTCGTTATTCATTCATAGTATTCATTCCAGGTTCAACCAGCCATATTAAATACTCCCATTAGTGTACCGGAGGTTTGTTTCTAAGGATTTATAAAATCATGATTATATAGTAAAAAGATTTCGGTTCATATATTGATATTTTATTTTCTATGTTTGTTTTTTTTAGAAGCTTGGAAGTTTTTTAAAATTGGTTTTTTAATTTTTTGTAGGGCTTTGTATGATGCCAGATTAATTTTAAAAATCCACATAACATTTAGGTGGATGGATGAATGGTTTTTGGTTATAATTACATTCATTAAGTATTAAAATTAAGAATTCTTATTTCCAATTTCTATGTTTAATTTTATTTTGATTTTCGTTTTTTTTTTTTTTTTCAGAACCTTGAAAATCAGTCAAACCAGCCTGGAATTACTTCGCCAACTTTTGCAACTATCACATCTACTACTACTGTTCCACATATCACTCCTACTTTGGAAACACGATTAACTCTTGAAAACTTAGATAATGCATTACGAAAAGTTAGCGGTGTAACTACTGCTAATGTAAATATGGCTAATGCAGTTAATATTGCAACAATGGCATCTACAACTAGTATGCCAACATTAACCTCCGATTCAAATTTTTCTACTTCTGTTACATCGCTTGCTTCTGGTATTCTTTTTTTCGATATTAAAATAAATTTGATTAAAATGCTTTTCCACTTACTGTGCTAAAATTGCAAACCCAATGGCTGAATGAAATTCCCAAAGTTATCCTCCAATCAATAATAAATAATTCCTGTCCACCCTACACGAGAGGCGATTTTGGCGCAATAATGTAATTTAACCTTCTTTTAGCTTTTTTTTTCCTTTCTCATTTCTAATATTTGAATATAAAGTTTTTGTACATGGAAATTTCCCTCCTTTAACTTTGTATATTTTAGGGAATATTGCATCATCGCTTAATAATGCAGCTAATAATCAGATCGGTTTAAATAACAAGTTAGCAGCATTAAATCAGAAATTGCAAGGAGAATCATTTGACGAAGTTCAGTCGCCAGTGGAAGATGAAAAATCCAATCATTTAGCACCTGTTACAAAGGTTCCCACTGCACCAGCGAATTTGAAAACTACTGGTGCAAATATTCCAATTACGAACATTTCATCCTCCTCTGCTATTCCCTCTGCTTCTGCGTTAACTGTAAATGCTGGTGGCGCTGGTCTTTTGCATGTTGACACATTAAATGGATTAGCTGATGCTTTACAAAAGGTTGATATATTTTTGCTTCAATTTGCGTATTTATTACGGTATGAAATAATTCTTTAAATATTTTTTATTTTTGAAAAATTTTAATAGTTTTATGGAATCTTGGTGATTTTCATTTTTTATATTTGGTTAATTCCTTTGGTCATAATTCACCTATATTATAGGTGATCCATCCAGACACGCATGAATCGATTACTACTTCTGTTTCAATTACTGCAGACAGTGCTTCATTGCCCGCACATAATTTGAGTGAATTTCAAATTTCTCCATCAGCTTCATATTTTCATGCTTCAACTTCGATTCATCCACATGAATCTGTTTCGGAGAAGGTAATCAGTGATTAATTTCTTTTAAAAACAAGAAAGTAAAAGAAGGAATGTGAAATTATGGCAAAAATCCATGACTATTTATATGAACTGTAAAACAAAATGATTAAAAGAAATAAAGATGAAAACTTGACAAAATTCATGTTTTACAGCAACTCTCAGAGGAGCCTAAACAAGATATTATATCACTCAGTTCAATGACGAATGAAACTGCTTCATCCTCCTCTACCGCTTCTACTATTGTCCAGGCTTTGCAAGCATCTGTTCCTTGTCAGCCTGCTGCGAATTTGCCAGGGTCTTTAAATGTTATTAATTCTACTCCATTGGTATCTTTCGAAAATCTCGAATCTGCGCTAAGCACTACTCTTGGTACGCAAGGTCGTTGTACCACTTTGCCACTAGTGAATCTTTCTGCCACTCGATCTGTTGATACATCTGTATACTCTACAGCGGCAATAGTGGCGGATTCCACTTTAAATTCTGAGCCTACTGGGTCGCTGAGTCATTCGAAAGAATTAACTTCAAATGACCCACCAATAAATGGAGCCATATTTCATGTCGGCACACCACCTATGCATTTCATTGATTCATCAAGTCAAACAGATTTGGTCAACTACCACGATAACACGGACCATATTCATAGTCCAGCAACTTCTTATAGTTCAGACTTTGAGCTGCAGGTGTATAAATTTAGCTGTATTCTTAAAATGGATTTCCGTGGTCTTAAATTTTTTTAAATAGATTTTTTTTCAAAAAAATTTGATACATCAGCATTATTATATATACGAGATTGTACGAAGCATAAATTTCCTTTATTTTTATATATTTACTTTTTACTGTACTTTTGCTATATTCTATGTTTATTTTCAAAAATATTTTTTTTAGTTAGACGAAGATCTGGGAACTGAAGATGATGATGCTGTTCAAGCCTTGCTTATCAAGTATAATTCTGTTTTTCTTTGAATCGTTGTTTTAAAAAAGCTGTTTGAAGGAAATCGGAAAAACTTATCTTTTCAATGAGTTTCGTAACAATTTTTTAGGCACAAATTAGAAATGGCTGCTTTACGAGAACGTCAGCGCCGCGAACTTCTAACTTTTCGTCATCGACTCCGACAGGGTTATGTTAATACGGAAAAGTTTGCTAATATAGAAAGTGGTTCCATGTATCGGTCCGCTGAAGGTCTTGAACTTATGTCAGGTAAATCGCCGAATCTGGCGCAACATCACGATTCCACTGATTTTTCTGCAAGCACTGAAGTTTGCCAAAAAAACATGCCTCAGAAGCGTGGCTCGGTATATTTTTAAATCATATCTTTAAAATTTCCAGTAAAAATTGACTGTAATAAAAGGGAAAAAGATGACAAAGGATACTTGCGGTAGGAGGCATTTAACCGTTATAACCATTTTCCTTTATATATTTAATCATTTAAGGTATATTGCGGTAAATTGATGTCTTATCGTCGTCCTCCATCGGTTGACGCAGTGCTGGATCGTCCAAGATTGCATAATGACATTAAGGCTGATTTTAATGCTGGATCTAATTCAGTGTCGAACCATGCCTGTGCATTGTCTGGTTCGAAATATGAAGACGTCGCCCTTCTTTTCAATGGAGTTTCTCCATCTTCTTGCATTGAAAGCGATCATCCAGTTTCAGACAACAGCTGAAAATTCTCCTTAGTTCCACAGTTTGTATTTGTTTCTTTTGATCGGATTTCACACTGGAATTCCTCAAAAATTTTTTTTGAAATTTAAGCGTTTTTTATAATTAATATTTTTTATAATTATATTGCTTATCAAATTGCTGAACAGTTTGGTATTTTTCCTGTTTTTTACCAAATATTCATTTTCTTTTCACTTCATTTCTTTTTTTATTTTTAAATTTATTTATTAATTTGATTCTGAACTGTAATTATTATTGCTTTCTGAATGTATTTCGAAATTGCGTCAAATGTTTTAGGTTTTCCATTCAATATTTTTTAATTTATTGAGTTACTTTGCATATATTAGATTGAAATTATTAGATAATTATAGGATAAATTCGTATTCATTTTTGTTTTTTATTGTTAACTCCTTAGTTCCACAGTTTGTATTTGTTTCTTTTGATCGAATTTCACACTGGAATTTTTTGGTATCTTCTTTTCGTTTAAGAATAGAATTATAGATGCTATTTCTAATCGAATTATTATCGGGTTATTGCTCAGAAAATTTTCGTTTTATCAAAATTCATTTAAATCTTTTTAATTTTGCTGTGATTTTATGTCACCTTTTTAAATTATTTGAATTTAGAGCTAACTGAATATAATTCAAAGTTAAGTCATTTGAATGCTTCAGGGAATTTCATTTCATTTATTTTTTGCGTAAAAAAATGTTCTTTTCAAGCAGTTTTATTGTTTGGAATTCAAATTTTAAATAGAACTTGTAAAATAAAATTAAATGTGCTATTTTTATTTTTGCAGCTTTATCAGTGAATTATCTTTAAGTCGAACCAAAATTACACTTAAAATTTCGATATCGTTTGGGATTTTATTTAAAAATATGCACGTTTATGTGAGAATTTTTTATCACAAATACAAATTTGACCAATCTAATAGTTTTAATGATCCAATAATGATCTGACGATAAATTGTATTTGTTTTGGTTTAATCCGATTAATTATATTTGTGTTAATATTTCGCAGCAATAACGACAATGATTTGAAGAAAAGGAATGTTTCTTTAGTCGCTATGATCGTTATTGATGGATGTTTTTTGTGTTATAAAAGGGAATGCGGAGCTTTTCGCGAATTTTTCTTGGTGGCAATGAATTTATGGAAATGGATTCGTTTGAAATTAATGATAAAGAACTGACCAGATTCTTATTTGCGTCGGTTTTTGAAAAATTTCTTATGGAATTTTATAACTGCAAAAGTTTTTTTTAAAATAAATTTTAAGCTGATAATTTCGAATTTAATCGAATTTATCGAATAAAATCGAATTTCATTTTTATCAGCGATTGCAACGTTCGTTTTATTCGTTATCAGCGAAGTAATGATGTGGCTGACCAATGGACGATTTTTATTCAAATGAAGAAAATATTCAAATTCATATTTATTCAAATGAAGAAAATAGTTAAATTGCTTTTGCTTTTGTACAATAGCCAAAGGGATATTTTGAAAATAATTTCCTGGAAGTGCCCTTAACTTACTTTTTTTCAACAAGGTTTTCCCAATGGGGAATAGAATCAGCATAGACGCTCCAATCTGAACAACAATCACTAAAAATTTTACAATAAAAACTTTGATTGATTAATAAATTTTTAAATGCAAATTATTTGGTAAAGATTTGAATTTAAGATTTCTAAAGCAAATATGAAATTAAAAATTTTCCTTATCACTTTTATACTTTTTTCTTGTCATTTATTTCAAGATTTTTATTTATAATGAAATATGGAAAGAGGTATTTTTTAAATTAAATACATTAAAATCCTAAAATAAATGATAAGAAAGAAATTAATAATTAATTGGCGCGTTGTTTAACTATAAATCGTCACGAAAAATTTTTTAATTAACTTTTTTCTTCTTTAAAAGATTTTGTTTTCCTAATTTTGAAAAAAATTTTACTTTATAAGATAATAACTTTACTACTATTTTCTACTATAACTATTAACTGCAAAAACTTATTTTCTTAGATTTATTTTCATTAAAAATTTCTATTCGTCTGCAACAATGTCCTCTATTTTATATTTATTCCATTTAATGCTTAAACATTAATGAATCACTCAATATGCAGTGTTATCAATTATCAGTTATCATTTAATATGAATGAAGGATGGACGTTATGATTATTTGAATCTTCGATTAAACGAGTCGGTTCAATTTTCAGTTCAACTTGAAAAGAATAACAACAAAGATTTTGAGATTTCTGCCATTGACATATCATTTTGCCATTTATCTTATCCTTACGAAAGATTTGATAAATTTTGATAAATATTTCGAAATTATTTTGAAATAGAAATTTTATGAATTTTATGAATTCTTATTATAAAAATTTGTTTTAATAAAACATAGTCGATCAAAAAATTATTTTTTCGAATTTAATTACCAATTCGAAAAAATTACCAATTCTTGATTAATCATTATTTCTATGATAAAATGCGCAAAATCCCGATAATAGTTTCCGAGATTATTAACCAATGAATAACCACGAGCAACGGCACAAATCCATTGCAGTAATATAACCATATTCAATAACCATATTCTTAACGATATAATAAATAATGACAATTAAAAAAATAAAATTTCGTCCAAAATTAATTATTGACAAAAATAGGCTTGATAATTTGCTTAAAGATTGATAGAAATTCCATTCATTTCTTTTATAGGGATTTATAAGGATGGAAAAAATTTAATATGTTATGTATTGCTTGAAATACACTTTTAGAATATCCAAAAGTACCAATCGCTAAAAAAAGATTTTGTACAATAAAAAAAAGCAGATAGGTTATATGTAATCTTAGGCAATTTTTTCGTTTCAAATGGTCTAAAAATTGTTTTTATGATTTTTAAGTTATTTAATAAATTGATAACTAAAATTAGAATAGATTGGCTCAAAGAGTTGTTGTTCTTATCTCGGACCGCTGATGCTGGGCTCCAACAGTGATAAACCCATGTTTCAAAAATACGACTGGTGATACTGGCTGCTTGCTCGTACTTTTATCATCAAGCGATTTCATGGCAAAGTTTATCTGGTCCGATAGGCCAGCAAAGCGAGTTATTTCCAATAATAGTTACTATAACTGTAAATAAAAATTAAAACACACAGAGAGTTATGTATTTCGATATTCTGTTTTTTGCTTCATATTAGCCATTAGTAGGCTTAAATGTAGATTCCGGGCTCAAATATTATTTGCTAAAATCGGTAAAAATGAAAATAGTGGGTGAACAAATATGGTGTGTTATTTCGATCATTGTTTGATTCTTACCTATTGTCATAGCTAAGACCTTAAAAGTGAAGCCTGAGTAAAGCTAAGAACTATTGTTTCCTATAAATTGCGCTTGTGCGAGGTCACACAAATGCTGCTTCCCTGCATACATACCAAATTTCTCCTGCAGTTTATCTGTCGGGCCACAACCCTGTCTCGGAAATTATCGCTTAGATATCAAAATTCCATGCTTAATTTACTAACAGTTCTCTATGTGAAGAAAAGAAGAATTGCTGGAGAATTGTGCTTCTGTCACGACTCCACAAGCCAAGCGTTCGTAAAATCTTCTTCTTGTTCTAATAGCTCTCACCATTACTGGTTAAGCTCCACTGGCTACAAGGGTAAGACGATTCCAAGCTGCTCGGATAGACGCCATCGCTAATAGTAATAGGAGCCATTCTTTTTTCCATCTAGTCCATATATCGCTGGTCCTCTATACGTTCAAAATCTTTCTTGACTGTATTAGCCCAGGTCTTGATTGTTCCTCCTCGTTTTTGATGCCAACCATCGCAGAGCTCGGCAAATAGCAAAGAGCAAAAAGACTCTTAGATGCAATCGAAAGCATAGAAGTTAAAAGAAGAGAAAAATGAAATGAATGCGATATCGACTATACTTTCATGCGTATAACCGAATAAATTTTTGATAAATTCATCAAAATACATTTTAAAAAATAAAATAAATGAGCAAATATATCCTTATTATATATATTATGATTATCTTTTTAATCACCAGTTCTTTTTTTATATATTATTTATTATTATTTCAAACATTTCACTATCATTATTATTATTATTGCTATTAGTATATTAGTATTAATATCATTTATTATCAATATTATTTCCATTACTGTTGTTGTTATTATTATTGTTATTACTATTATTATTATCACTATATCATTATATTATTACCACTATTAATAACTATTATTATTAATATTATCATTATATTAACAATATCGTTCAAATTATTCTATCATATTTGTTCTGCGAAATTCAAAACCATAATTAAAAGACGAAATAAAACTTGATGCAATGAAAATTGATTGATATGTAATGAATATAATGAATATGTAATATACATATATAATGCTACCTTGTTCCGTTATCAAACCTATCAAACTTCAAAATCTCGTCTAATAATTTAAGGAACAATATTTTCCAGTTTAATTCCATTTAACATGTTCGATGAGCAATTTAATAAACCTGATATTATTATCAATGTCGATATTAAATATAGAAAATATCGAAAAATTTATAAAATTAATTTCATAATGTTCAATTATTTGAGAAATTTTCTTCAAAAAAAATTGGTGATAAATCGCAATCTTTAAACCAATTTTCTCCTTCCGGAAATACTTTTTAAAGGTAGGAATTAATAAAAAAAATTTGAAAATGGAATTAAAAAATCGAAAAAGTGTTTCAATTTTTTATCGAAAAAAACAAAAATAAAAACGGAATAAATGCAAAAGGGGAGATGAACACTTCTTTGTTACTAATTTTTGGTGATTTTGATAGAAGGAATTTCTTCAAAAAAGCAAGTCTATGTGCATTTTTCCTTCTATTGTTAATTTTAACGAAATATTTTTACGCTTGACAAGTTTGCAACGTTAAAAATAAAATTTTAATCGGTTGATAATAGTGATAACAAAAATTTCAATTTTGAATTATAATTTAAAAAGCCAATAAAAATAAAGTTTTATGTTTGATTTTTCTGCGTAAACAGTTTTACAGATAAATTAAGTAGAAAATTTCTAAGCACTTACTTCATTTTTGTTTATCATTATAGTCATGGATCAATTATTTGCATCAGTATTATCATAAAAATTATGAGTGCTTATGAATATTCTATTAATGTATTAATATATGCAATATTTTATAATTCACTCAAATTTTAATTTTAAAAAATTCACACATATAAGGAGGAATCAAATAACAAATAATAATATATACAAAAAAAACGAAAAAATTTTTGCTATTGAGGGCGTTTGTAGAAAAATCGCCCAAGGCATTTCGAATCCGAATCATAATCAAGAAACTTGATCGATGCCGACGCCATTCGAAAGGGTACTTAAAGGAAAACGAATATCCGCTCGACAATTCATCACCTTTTAAATTGTCAAATATCGCCGGCTCAAATTCATTAGGCAAATAGTGTTATGAAAATCGTAAGCTTTTTCTTATAATATTTTTTCTATTTTGATTTTCTCGGATTTCCATATTCTCAGATTTTTAGATAAATGAAATTTCTATAATAATAATGATTATGTTGGCAAAGAAAATGGCCTTTTTACTTTTTCTCGATTTTTTTTAAATTTTTTTTAAAAATTGAAATTAAAATTTAAAATTAAATAGTAAATATTGGAGAAATATTATTGGTTATTATTATGGAAATTTATCCATTAATTTATAAGAAATAAACGATTAATTCTTAATGACTGATTTTTCAGAATTTTGTGGGTTTTATTAATTATTTTCGAAATATTTTTATCAATTTTTCTTTTCTTAGAATTATTTAATTAAGAAAAGTTTTTATTTCAATATTATATAATATTGTACGAATATTATTAAACGAATTTATTATTTATAGTGATCGCAAGAGAAGTAAATTTACGAGATTCGAATATGAATAAATTTATAATAAATAATAAATGATAAAAATTCCGAGATCCGAGGAAGTGCCAATGCATAGATGAAAAAATTGAACGAATTTTAATGATAAAATATTCAATTAAATAAATTAAATACTTGTAGATACTGTTATTAGTGACTCTAATTGGTTCGTCAAACGCATGTATTGGAGGAGGAGGATGTTGTTGTCCGCAGTCTCAACCTTCCTGTGGATGTGGTAGTACATGCGGAGGTGGAGGAGGAGGAGGAGGAGGAGGGTAATTTTTTAATGATATTTTTTGAAATATTTCATTAATTTAGAATTATAATAACGAAATAAATTAGGAAAACCTGCATCGATATAATGGAGTTTATTTATTTTATTTATTGCAACATACACCGCAGTGTCCAAAAAAAATCATCTTATTATTTCAACAGTTTCATCGGTAAACTAAAATTTATTGCAGTGGAATTATCGCTATCCCTCCACCTCCGCCGTCAGCATACGTCGCAGGTCCAGCTCTACATGGTGGAGTATATGGCGCTGCACCTCCTGCTATTGGTGGTGCATATAGTGCCCCAGGAGCATATGGAGGCGGTGGCGGAGGAGCATATGGAGGTGGCGCTTATAGTGGAGGAGCAGGCGGTGGCACTTATAGTGGAGGAACAGGTGGTGGCGCTTATAGTGGAGGAGCAGGCGGTGGCACTTATAGTGGAGGAACAGGTGGTGGCACATATGGTGCAGGAGCAGGCGGTGGTGCTTATGGTGGAGGAGCAGGCGGTGGCGCTTATGGTGGAGGAGCAGGTGGTGGCGCTTATGGTGGAGGAGCAGGAGGTGGCGCTTATGGTGGAGGAGCGGGAGGTGGCGCTTATGGTGGAGGAGCAGGCGGTAGTGCTTATGGCGGTGGAGGAGGCGGTGGCCCTTATGGTGGAGGAGCAGGCGGTGGAGGAGGCGGTGGCCCTTATGGTGGAGGAGCAGGCGGTGGAGGAGGCGGTGGCCCTTATGGTGGAGGGGCAGGCGGCGGACCTTATGGTGAAGGGGGAGGGGGTGCACCTTTCGGATCAGCCATTCCAGCTGCTGCACCAGCTCCAGTCGTGCCTTCAGAAACTTATCAAGAAGAAGCGTTAGCGCCAGCACCAGCACCGGCACCTGCACCAGCACCTGCACCGGCACCAGCGCCTGCGCCAGCACCGACATATCAAGAAACAGGAGGAGGATTTATAGAATCAGCTCCTGTACCAGCACCAGCTCCAGGTGAAACATATCAAGAAAGTTCGGCTCCAGATGGCGATGGATATCAAGAACGTTTAAAGTTCCTCAAAAGAACGTTTCAAAAGCGAGTATCATAAATTTATATGAGGTCGGCCATCTTTTAAAATAATTATTTTGATCAGAGTTTTATTTTAACTTTTCCTTAATAGTGTTCAAATGATAAGAGCATGAAATGATTCATATTTTTGCAATCTTTTACTTTTTCTTTTTCTTTACCTCATCACAACTTTTTACTCGTTATGCAACGTCCATCCACCCACGCGTTCGTCCATAAATTCTTACATCCACCGATCTGTTCGGCCATAAATTTATCACTTTATCATTATTTTTCTTAATTCAAATACGGTCTATACATAATCGAACGATAAATTTGCCTTATTTCTTATTATTTCTGTTATATATTCGAAAATATTGTTTTTTTCGGCATTTGTTTGTATATGTTGAACGAATTTTTTTTTCCATTCATATCGGCTCATTTAAAATTAAATTTTTTTTCCTTTTCTTTAAATTGCAGTTGAATGCAAATTAAATGAAATTAACTTAATAAATAATGAATGGATTTATCATCGTTAATCTGCGATATTTTTTTATAAAATTTTCATTTTTCCATCCTTTGAAAAGTAAAAATTTATGAAAAACCAATGCATACAATGAACAAATTTAAATGCTGTTAATTCGAGTTAATTATAAATTATGAAAGAATTAAAAGCATTTAACTAATAAAAAATAACTTCGGAAAATATCGAAATGCATCACAAATAAATGATTTATTCGTTCTTTTTATCAATTAAAATATTTAAATTTCTTTTTTAAATTCGCTTGAAAATTTTGAATTTTTTAAAATTTCTCAACGAAATTCTGTGATTTTTAATAAATAAATAATGTTATCTAATACAAATGAACAAATAAACATGTTCCTTCTCATTTCTTTATTTATTATGTGAATAAAATCATAAAACGGAACAATAGAGAAGAGAAACGAGTTTATTGTCTTTATATTTCGAAATTAAAATCAGCCTTCGTCGGATTAAAATTAACGATTTCAACGGAAAAAAGCCAGTTTTATTCGAGCTTATCAGTTTCCAGATAAGATTCCTATCACCTGACAATTATTTCTTCTTTATTTTCATTATGTTCACCTAATTTAAACAACATCATGAACATATTACCGATAAAATTATATAAATTCATTGGATTTTACCAGATTATGAAATTAAATGCATCATTTCGCTGAAAATATGATAAAAATGATTAAAATATTGGTCGATCATTTAAAAAATGCGAATATATGCATATTTTAAGAGCGATTCCATTAGAATTTCATTTTTATGAATTTCAATCATTTTTATGAATTCGCAAATTCGCAAATTTGAATAAAAGAAAAAAATATTGTAAATCAAGCGTATGTATGTATATAGAAAAATATGAAACTTTATTAAATTCTAGAAATTATGATAAAGCAAAATGATAAGAATATATATAAATACATAATATTCATCTTTTATGAATATAGAAAATAGAAAAATGTTTATTGGAAATTGTAAGAGGAAAAAAGCTACAGCGTCAGAGTTAGAATGAGTGACACGTTGTTCGTCGAAAAGTGGTGAAAATGGAATTTCTTCAGAATTTTTTTTTCATGGGTAGAACGATGAACTAGGGAAAGGTCGGTTGGTTCTTTTTAAGCGAATAATAAACTAAGCTAAGCCACTCAAGCAATTATTACTTTTGAAAAAAACTATAGTAGAATCCACGAATTATTTTCGAAGAATCTATTAATTTCAGTTCAAAATCGTTCGGCTTTTGTTTTTTTAAATTCATTTTATTCTCAACGAACCATCAAATGATTCGCGAAATCCAAGATTATTTTCGCTCCAAAAAGTGATTGCCAATTCCACGATGTTTTAATTGAAATTTCAGCATATTTGAAATCACACTGATAAATAGATGGTTGCATTCTATTGGCCGACTAAAATCAGGAAAAAACTAGGCAAAATAGACTCGAGGACCTGAATCGAATGAATACTTAATAGATTATCATTAATAAGTGGATTGGATAATGATGAAATAATGAAATCAAATCAGTAACCGTTAGGGCACTTGAACTATATCTCGACAAATAGTAGCCTGATTCGCGGTTTTTATACCTGGGAGTGATCTGCAGTATTAGAAATGGTAGTGCTGGGAATCCATGTATACTTTAACCGCTAAACTGATTTTTGGCGAATCATCTGAGTGATAGAAGAAGAATCATCCAGTGAAACTTTTATAAATTTAAATAATGATAAACGATAAATAATCAATCGGTTTCTGAGATGAACCAATGTAAACCAATTCGAAAACAAATGGTAAATTTCAACCTTTTTCCCTACAACTAACTATTTATCTTTATGATATAACCAATGGGCATTGAATGGCTCAGTGGGTTATTGCTCAATACAAAGCGCTGATGCTGAGGTCCTGCTCCTTGCAAAAGTAGATTTGTCCAGAAATCCGGGTGGATTTTCAAATCTGGGTGGTACTGACGACTCACCTGCATTTCTACTACCAAAGCTCCCTGGCATATTTGTCTAGTGCGATAAGCCAGTAACCAAGTCTAACCAATGATGATGAGAGTTTTTAAAATGATATAAGCAACATTTGCGAATAGTCCAGGGATATGCAAGTCCAGAGCGTCCACAGCGTAATATCATGGATTGCCGATGATACTGATTTTTATTAGCTGTTAGAACGTTGGAGGACATATGGATAAATGCAGAAAAAATCAGATTCCAAATTAGTGAGAGATTTTTTTCATCCTATAAACCATTCATTGAAAACTGTGTATTATCAAAACAATTGACCGATTTAAGAAATGAATAATAGTGTTTATTATTTCCACTGGTCAAGTCTGCTCCACAGATTTATTCGGACTTATTTTTGCAAAATTAGAAGAGAATCAGAAGAGGAGCACAGCGGATAACCAGTACCATGCAAATGCCTGAAAAGGCAGGTTTAGTTTTGCACAAATAGAACATTTAGAGAACAATGATCCACTGAATCGCCATTTAATCTCCAGCAGCTGGAAAAATGGCAATTTGAAATATTTTTAGATCGACTCTTAAATCAAGTAACCAAGCAGTGGACCACCTCGGAAAACTGCAACTAATTTCTAAGATACACTTCGTACTGTTTTGAAGCGAATAGAATCTTTCACGATTAAATCCCCTTATCTCCAGCATTAATAACATCGTTGCAAAGTATCACCTGAACTGGTCAGGTTCTTCGCTGCTCATAATGCTAGTAAAGATTTTTTGCATATGCGGCCTAGCTATATAAGTATTTTCAAAATAAGAAAAAACTTATATTAATATTAATTTTAGGCATGGCACCTAACCAAGAAGACCCTAATATCCGAAACAATGGTACTCGCTAGAGAAGTAAGGCATTATCCGGTAAAATAAAACCAAGAAATGGGATAAGAAGGAGCACAATTATCAATCAATCACCTGCGATTGCGATTTTCTTGATAATCCACTTATTATGTAAAATGATAATCCATTTATTATGTAAAATTAGCTGTATAAGGAATTTTACAAACAAACTATTTCGTGATATCTCGTAATAACCTTAAAAGAAAAATATACAAGGAACGAGCAAGCTAGATTATCTACCATTATCTAATAAATTTTTTTCTTATAACGATGCCCAGTATCCCTCCTTTCATTGTTTCACAGCTCGACCTTCGCAATTAATTAAATTAGAGATTAACATTGAATATTTTGCTGAAATTAGTAACGAAAGTACTGATGAAAATAACGAAAGATTACTTTAGAAAAATGTTTTATTTATTCTTCCAATTATCAAAGTTTTTTTATTGCTATTGGAAAGCAATCGTTGAAAATTCACACAAAAATTAAAAATTTAACGAAAAATCTAAAAATTAAATTTATGGATGTGTTTTGAAATAAATTTATAAAACATTTTCGTTTTCCATATTGCCGAAATTGTATATTTGTTTATTCAGCTTCTCAAAATCGGAAAAATTTTTTCGATTTCTTCTCCTTTTTTCTATTTCTGTGAACTAAAACAAATCTATTTTTAAATTGCATAACTAATTTTTATTTTGTATAAATTTTAAGTTAGAACATTGAATTTGATAGGTATATTTTCTCGGAATTTCGACAGATCTGATGATAGGAGCATTGATTGGTTGACACTGATCAAGGTAATTTGTTTAACTCTTTAGTCCAAAAAATAATCCAAAGATCCAGTAAATAATCCTCGTGTAATTAAATCCCAATTTATCGACGGCATTAAACAATTTAACGCTCAATTAATCAAATTAAGAGAAAAGCATTAAACTGCTGCTACAAATTATTTAACGCAGTTCTAGGCGAAGGCCATTTTTCGTTAAAATCGGAATTTTATTTAACTGAGAAAAGGGAAATTCGTCCTTGAACATTCATATCACATAAAGCATATATATGTTGCACATATATATGGGGAACTACTCTTAAAAGAGGATTGATGTTATCGCTTGAATAGTCTTTAGACAATCACAATTGATCCTCAGCAGCTTTGCTGCAGTTAAGAAAAGTAAACGGTTTGCTCACTTTCATAGTTAGGCCAACTGGTTGCTGGTACGGTTGGAAATTTTTGTCGGAGAGTCAAGCAGAATTATTATAAAATTAAAATAAAAATTAAGTCTAAAAATTTAGTTCGTCTTAAAAACGCAAAAAATTTTTTCGCTTTTTGCTTTCTTACTTATTCTAATTGGCTAAAATTTATAATAATGACAATTTTGTTAAATAAGTTTGTAAAACAAATATAATTTTTACCATTCATTTTCATCAATTTTTATTTTTTGTATGAAAATATAAATTTTTCTTCAATGAAAAAAAAAATGAAAAATCAAAAAATTTCTTTTTTTTTAAATTTGTAAAACAAATATAATTTTTACCATTCATTTTCATCAATTTTTATTTTTTGTATGAAAATATAAATTTTTCTTCAATGAAAAAAAAAATGAAAAAATCAAAAAATTTCTTTTTTTTTAAATTTGAAACTTTATTTTGCAAAATTCATCATCAGCTTAGCG